CTATCAATGTGGAGTGGCCTGCCTCTTTTTTTTTTTTTTTTTTTTTTTTTTTTTTGTTCTCTCCTTGCCCTCCACGTACTGGGGCCAATTTCAGACTTCCCCCAGGAAGCTCACAAGGTTGTGAACCAACACATAGAACTCTGGATTGATAGTATCAGAATTCTGTGACAGTTTTGTCAACCCTTTAAGAAAGTTTCATCATTTTCTGGCCTCCACTGTTTCTAATTAGAAGTAAATCCTTAGTCCTCATTTATTTTATTGTTACTCCCTGCCCCACATTGTAATATATTGTTTTTCTCTGGCAGATTTTTCTTCTTGTTTTAGGTTTTTAGCCAGTTTATCATGTACCTCAGTGTGGTTTTCTTTGTATTTATCCTGCTTTGGGTTTGTTATGCTCTCTGGATCTTTAAGTTCATGTTATTCACCATTGGGAAGTATTTGGCTATTTTTTCATCAGTTATTTTTTCTGAACTACTGTTTCTTCTTCTCCAGTTACGTTATTTTCCACCACTTAATATTATTCCGCAGAGCCCTCAAGTCCTGTTCATTTTTCTAGCATCATTTTTTCTGTTTGTTCTTAAGGTCAGATAGTTTCTGTTGATCTGTTTTCCACTTCATTGACTTTCTGCCATCTCCAATCTATTAAGCCCACACAGTGAATTTTTTGTTTCAGCTAGTTTATTGTATTTTTCAATTCTAGAATTTCCATTTGATAGTTTGTATTTCTCTGCTGAGATTTTCCATCTGCTCATTCATTATGAGACATTTCCCTCTTCCTTGAGAATATTTATAATTGGTGCTTTGAAGTCCTGTTTGCTCATTGTAACATTTGGGTCACCTCAGGATTGGTTTCTATTAATAGCCTTTTCTTGAGTTTGATTACATTTTACTATTCCTTGACATATCTGGTCATTTTTTAACATATATTGGATACTGTAAGTGATACATTGTCAGAACTTGGAATTCTGTTATATTCCTCTGAAGTATGTTGATGTTTATGTCCAGTAGACTGTTAAGTGGGTGCATTTGAGCTCCCAATGCTGTCTCCTTTGCAGTGGGCAGCAGCTACAATTTCTGCTCAGTTCTTTCAATTTCTAGCTGCTGCTTTTTCACTGGACCCAGTGTGGTTCCCCTGTGCAAGCACAGTTTAGCAGTTAGCCAAGGATTTAGGTGCTGTTTGTGTGTACATTGCAGGGTTCATCTGTTTTGTAGCTTCCTCCCCTTCAGAGTTTCCTTCCTGATTTTCCAGCTGCTCTGGCTTCTTTGCACTGATACCTCAAGCTAATAAGCCTGTGACTTTCTGCCTCCATGAGCTGTGCAGACCGGGAAGTGCCCTCTGGCAAAAAGCTCACAAATCTTTTTACAAATGGACTCATCCAGGTTCTGCCTGCTTTTGGTCACTTTCCCATGCCTTCAAAGAATTTGAGATACTTGCACTTTCATATTTTGTCCAGATTTTATAATTGCTGTCTGAGAATAGAGTAGTCTGCTCAAGTTCCTCTGCTGTGACTGAAATCCATTGCCCCACCTCCTATGGACCTGAGGCATTGTCTTCTGTCCCCCAAGCTGCTATCAAAATCTGAGGCTCTAGTTCCTGATACTGGGTATCCTCAGGGTGGCTGTGGTTTCAGGCTAGCTTACTACTTTGGTTTGCAGTTCACTGGATATAGGCTCTTTGTTTGGTAGCAGGACATTTTTCAGAATGCTGATTTGTCTTATAGCCAGAAGTGGATCTTTTTATAGCCACAACCCTAGAGATTTTCTCTGCTACACTGAGGCCATCCTTTTTTTTTTTTCTATTTAAAAAAAAAAAAAAATTCTGGACCCACACTCAGAACTCTCCCTGACCTAGTATTTTCTTGATATCTGATTTGTCTCCAGCTCTCCCAGGAGTTTTCTTCCACTTAGCATATTTTCTGACATCGTTCCTTTTAGTTCCCTTTCTCATTTTTGTTTTCTTTCTCATTATTCACTCTTTCGTCACCTCTTTTAGTTTGTCTGGTTTTGGCCCATTGCAAGTGAACATTTCTAGAACATATCTGTAGTTGGAAAAACTCATAAGGTCAATTAATCTAATCCCATTATTATTTAAAAGACAAGCAAGGCCCAGATAAATTTAACTGCTTACCTCGAGTTATTTAGCTCACCTGAAAAAGCTGGAATTAGAATCCTGGGCTCCTGGTGCGCCTGGATGGCTCAGTCGGTGAAGTGTCCGATTTCGGCTCAGGTCATGATCTCACGGTTCGTGAGTTAGAGCCCCGCATCGGGCTGTGTGCTGACAGCTCAGAGCCTGGAGCCTACTTCAGATACTGTGTCTCCCCCTCTCTCTGCCCCTCCCCTGCTCGCACTCTGTCTCTCTCTCTCAAAAATAAGTAAAAACATTAAAAAAAAATTAAAAATCATGGGCTCCTGATTCTATAGTCCAAGGCTTTTCTACTGTGCGTTCTCTTGTGGTTTGTTTTTTGATTCTGTGGGGTTTGGTTTGTTATTCATATGTCGTTCGTCTGTATGATCATATTAGTGTTGGTTCTCTTAAGTACTTATTCCCCAGGGCAAAAAACAGTGGTTTCCTTGGTGCTCTAGAATACCCTGCATGCTTTTGAGGTTAGAGATGGAGCTGTTTGTAGTAAGCTTCCCTTCCTAAAACACTCTGTTATTCATCCTACTCATCCCTTAGGGAGGGTGTTAGGCAAGAGGGAAGGAAGCCTGTTCTCTCCATCAGTTCAGTAACACTTAGCAAAGATGTGATTACTTGAGGCAGCTGTGTACCAGCTGCTGGGCTCTCACAGGTAGTGATAGTCCCTAAGCTTAGGAACTTACTTTCCATCTAGAGCAGAAAGACAAGTAAATAATTTCAATACTACTTGCTAGTATTACTTATAGAGGATTTTCAGGGTGCTTGGGAGCACAAAGGTAGAGTAAATTCAGCCTTGGGAGAGTGCGGTTAGGGGAAGCTTTCTAGAATATACATGAGCTTTGTCTTAAGGGATATCAGTCGCCAGCCAACATAAGAAGAGGAAGGAGGTTGAAGTGCGAAGTCATAAGGGTATGGGACATCATAGTGTTATGGGGGGGCAGTCATAAGCAGTTTGTTACTGTTGGAGAGCATGAGGTGTGACGTGGAGTGTATGTGATAGATTGGAAAGGTAAGCAGGGGCCTGGTCACAGTAGGCTTTAGAAGCATTTGTGATGAGTGTGGTCTTCACCCTGAAGGCAAAGGAGGGCCCTTGAAGGAATAACAACAGCTTTGTATATTAGATAGATGAATCACTAAGGCAGTAATGGGAAGCATTTGAAAGGCACACATCTGGAAGTGGAGAGACAAGGTAAAAGGCTATTGCAGTAGGTCAGGGTAAAGGAGGTGGAGTTCTGAACTGTAGGGAAGTGTTCAGGGATGAGGTGTCAGGACCTGGTGGCTGACTTGGGCAGAAGGAGAAATCACTGGATTTGACAATAGGGAAGGTCACTGGCGGCCTGAAAGAGAGCTAACTGTGGCATGGTGAGACAAAAGCTGGGTTCCAATGTGTTAAGGAGTGAATGAAAAGTGAGGAGGTGTAGACAGTGAATACAAGCTCTTTTAAGAAGTTCAATTTAAAGTCCCCAGCTGCATTAGCCCTTTAGCAAGAGAGTCGGCCTGTCCTCTGAAGCTTTGAATCCAGGCATTGACTTCCCGTCTGTAGCTATGAAAGTCCTAGGTGGCATCTTCTTCCAGTAGGGGGCCATTTCATCTATATTGAAAATCTGTTTAGTGTAACCACCTTCACTGACTGTCTTAGGTAGCTAGATCTGTTACATAACTTGCTGCAGCTTTACACTGGCACTTGCTGTTTCACTCAAACTTTTATGTTATGGAGACAACTTCTTTGCTTAAATCTCACGAACCAACCTCTGCCAGCTTCACACTTTTCTTCTGCAGCTTCCCCACCTCTCTTAGTCTTCACAGAATTGAAGAGACTCAGGGCCTTGCTCTGGATTAAGCTTTGCCTCAAAGGAATGTTATAGCTGGTTTGATCCCCTATCGAGACCACTCAGACTTCCTCCATATCAGCAGTAAGGCTGTTTTGCTTCCTTATCATTTGTGTTTGTTGGAGTAGCACTTTTAATTTTCTTCAGTAACTTTTCCTTTGCATTTACAAGTTGACTGACTGGCGCAAGAGGCGTAGCTTTTAGCCCACCTTGGCTTGCAACTTGCCTTCTTCACTGAACTTAGTCTTTTTTCTAGCTTTTGACTTAAAGCGAGACGTGTGATTCTTTCTTTTACTTGAACCCTTACAGGCCAATGTAGGGTCATTAATTGGCTTAATTTCAATTTTGCTGTGTCTCAGAGAATAGGCTGGAGGAGAGGGAGAGAGATGGGGGAGTGGCCGGTCAGTGGAGCAGTCAGAACACACACAACATTTATCAACTGAGTTTGCTGTCTTATATGGATGCATTCGTGGCACCCCAAAACAGTTGACAATAGTTTCGTTAAAGATCACTGGTTAAAGATCACCATAACAAATAATGAAAAAATGTGAAATATTGCAAGAGTTACCAAAGTGTGACCCAGAGGCATGAAGTGAGCAAATGCTGTTGGAAAGTGGCACCAATAGACTTAATTGATGCATGGTTGTCACAGATCTTCAGTTGGTAAAAAATACATTCTGCGAAGTGTCATAAAGTGAAGTGCAATTAGAGAGGTGCCTGTAATAAGAATTCACTAAATGTTGTGTAATGAATGGATAAATTATAAGATGTAGACGTCAGCTGAGAGGGAGTTGGGCCTGTAGAGTAGTAAATGTTTGAAACAGTTGTCAAAAGAGTGGCAGAAGGGTCTGAATAAGAACTAATAAAAGGATGAATGATGTATTTTCGCTTTTTGATTCTATTGCATATGCCTTACATATTTTCACATGACTGCCTTACTTTCCTCCTTATCTATTAGGTTGTGAACTCTTCTCTTTTTTCAAAAATGAATGTCCAGTTCAGGATTCTGGCTGATCAGTGTCTCTTGATTGCAGATCCAATGGATTTGAACAGAAGCGCTTTGCCAGGCTTGCCAGCAAGAAGGCGGTGGAGGAACTTGCCTACAAGTGGAGTGTTGAGGATATGTAACTTTTCTGAGGCTGTGGGGCGGCTGTGGGTTGTGGTAGTGGACATAGGGCAGCCAGACATCCAGCTGTAACAGCTGTCTATGCTAGTAATCAGGGTCCACACAGACCAGCAACCTGAATGCCAGTTTTGACTACAGAAGAATATTTTGAGACCTGATATTTGGACTGAGGCACCTGTACTTCTCAGGTGTTCCAACACTGGCGATTGCTGGCCTTCAGAGGAAGCATTGCATTTTCAGTGTCCCAGAGTTTGTTCTTGGTTAGGGTTTTTCTTTTTTAATAAACATACATTTATTTTTTCACAATCATGCTCTTAACTGGGTATTCTGTTTTTGGGAAGAACACAAGCTAATGTTGAACCTCCATGGATCTTGGAGGGTGATGGTTGGATTTTTCATTAATCTAGAAAGCAGTGGGAATAAAAACTTTGGCAGTGATAGTTCCTTCCTCTTAGAAAATATGAATTAGTGCTAAACTAGACTTAGGAATAGAAGTAGCTGTTTGGAGGCATGGTGTATGTCAAAGGTAGTGTCACAAATTAGTGGAGAAGAAACAGATAATGGCGTTTAGAAAATTGACTTCTATATGGACAACAATAAAGTTGGATCCCTACCTCACACCATATAAGACAAAGACATCCCAAAGTGATGAAAGACCTAAATGAAAGGTAAAATGTTAAAACCAGTAGGAAAAATCAGAGACTGTCTTTGCGACTTTGGGGTGAGGATAGATTTCTTAAATGAGATCCCCAAAGCACTATCCATGAGATTTGATACCTTTGACTACTTCGTAACTAAAGATTTCTGGTCAACAAAGCATCTCATAGTCAAAGATGTGTACAGATTAGGAAAAAATATTTGCAATGTTTAAAACTGACAAGGGATTGCATATATAAAAGACTGAATATAGAAAGTACTACTGCAAATCAGGAAGAGAAACAAAACACAAGATAAAAATGGGCAAAGAATATAAATAGGTAAAATCTAAAGGGAAAACCAGAATGACTAATAAGTATATTACCCCCATTGGTAATTAGAGAAACGCAAATTAAAATGTTAATGTGTTTCTACTTTATATCTATTGGTTTGGCAAAAATAGGAGACTGAGCTCTCATGGGGAATGAAAACTCATGAGGAGTTTCAACTGGTACATCCATTCCGGAGACAAATGGGCAACACTTCACTGGAATGAAATAATACCTGGCATGCAGTATTACATAGTTTTTAAGAATGTGGTTCTGGAGCTATACTGCCTGAGTTTGAATCCCAGCTGTGTCTTTTACTAATAGTGTGACCTTGGTAAGCCACTTAACTTTTTCGTGAAATGGAGATAGTAATACCTACTTTGTAGGTTTATTGTGAGCTTAGAACAGTGCTTGGCACATGGTATGTGTCACAAAATTGTTAGCTATTATTATTATTGTCTTCCTAATCATCAGGTGTTGATAGCCAGCTTCCAAGATTGCCCCCGATGATCCTTGACCCCTGGTATTCAAGCCCTTTGTAGTCCCCTCCCATAATGAATAGGGCTGTCCTGTGTAACCAGTAGGATGTACCGGAAATGTGTTACTTCTGAAGCTAGGTCATAAAAGACATTGAAACCTCTGCCTTGTACTTCCTTGGATCCCTTGCTGTGGAAGAAGCCAACTGCTATGTCATGAGGACACGCAGGCAGCCCTCTGGAGAGGTCCATGTGGAAAGGAACTAAGACCTCTCACCAGTAGATGGCACCAAGTTACCCATCCCCGTGAGCAACCTTGGAAGTGGATATTGTAGCTCCATTCAGACCTTTAGATGAATGTGGCCCTGATCGACATGTGACCACAGCCTCATGAGAGATCCTGAGCTAGAGTCACCTACCTCCGAATTTTTGACCCAAAGAAACAGTGAGGTAATAGGTGTTCACTTTTTAAAAAGCTTTATTGAGTTATAACACACGTAGTATACACTTAACTCATTTCCCATGAGGTACACTTAAGTGGTTTTTAGGTATCACAGAGTTGTGTACCTATCACCACAGTTTTTAAAACATTTTGATCACTCTGGATATAAGAACTTTGAATCCATTAGCGGTCACTCCTCACTTGTCCCCAGTTCTCCCATCCCCTGGCCACTACTGATCCACTCTCTGTCTGTTTGGATCTGCCTATTAGAGACATTTCCTGTAGTATGTGAATGGGACTGTCCTACAACATGTGGCCTTTTGTGTCTAGCTCTTTTCACTGAGCGTATTGTTTTTAAGTTTCATCTGTGTTGTAGTACATCTCAGTCCTTCATTCCTTTTTATGGCTGAATAATATTCCCTTGTATGGATAGCACATTTTATTCATGCATTAGCTGATAGACATTTGAGTCATTTCTACTTTCTGTCTGTTATGAATGGTGCTGTTGTGAATATTTATGTACAAGTTTTTGTACGGACATACACTTTCATTTCTCTTGGGGTAGGTTTCCTAGGTCATAAAGTCCATGTTTAACTTTTTGAGGAACTGCCAAACTTCCAAAGCAGTGTATGACACTTCCAGTTTCTCCACATCTTTGCCAACACCTATTAACTATCTGCCGTGATTCTAGCCATGTTGGTGGGTGTGAAGCGGTATCTCACTGTGGTTTTGATCTGCATTTTCCTAATGCCTAATGTTGTGTAACATTTGTATATATCTTCTTTGGAGAAATGTTCATTCAAATCCTTTGCCCATTTTTCAGTTGGGTTGTGTGTCACACATATGTGCATGCACACGCGCGCGGGCGCACACACACACACACACACACTCTAATGTAGAGTTCTTTATTCTGGTTGCAAGTCTCTTATCAGATACATGATTTACCAACGTGTTCTCTCATTCTGTGGGTGTTATTGTTTTAAGCTGCTAAGTTTTGAGGTAATTTGTTATACAGCAATAGGTAACTAATGCATTAAGTATGTATATACTCTACATCAAAGCAGCTCTACTTCTGGCTGTATCCTTCAGTGAAACTTGCAGATAGATCCACAAGGAGTTACATAAAAGGATGTTTATCTGTGTATAGTTTGGGTAGCAAGAAGCTAGAAGCAACTTAGATGTCTATCCCTGAGGGAATTGATAAGTAAAATGTGGTATGTGCATAGGAGAGAATATCATAAAAGCAGTCAGACGCAAGCAGTTAGGAACTGCTGTGACATGACAGACTCCAGGTGAGGAAAATAAAGAAGAATTCGATTTACAGCAAAAACCAGCTAAGTAAATTAAAACACACTAAGCAGCATTTTTTCTAAGGAGGATCTATACACCTTAACACCCTGGAATAGTCTGTAGGAGGGAACAGAATGGGACCGGGATGGTGAAGGATGGGAGGGAAAGGGAAACAAAAGCGAGGCCTTACGTGGATGAATGTGATCGTGTGTCCCGGGCTCTGACAGGTGGTCACCTCAGTCCTGTGCCCCTGAGGCCCTGAGCACAGATCCAGAAGCAAGGTCTTGCTCTACCAGAATTGACATTTTGCATTGTGTTAGGCCAAACTGCCATGACAGCCACCGAATGGGCTAGCTTACCACAATAGAAGTTTTTTCTCCTTCCTCACTCATGTAATGTGCAGGGTAGTTTGAGATTGGCGTAGTGGGAGGAGCATTCTCTGTTTGGGGGCCATTTAGGGACCAAGCTGATGCTGATGCTAACACAGCCTCCAAGCTTGCTTTGGGTATTGTCATTTTAGTGAGTTGAGCAGAGCTTGGGAGATCGCTTGGGAGATGCAACAGGGCAGCTCTAGAAGCGGCACAAACTTCGACTCCTATTCTGACGGCTAGAACTTACTTACATGGTGCTCCTTAATGCAAGAGAGACCCAGAAATGCAGTGCATACCCAGGAAGAAGGGGAGAATGGATTTTGTTGGACAGCTGTAGTGTGCACGTCTCAGGCCCCAAAAGAAAGGCTGTCCGTCCTCCAGCCATTTGATACATATGTGGATTTTGAAGCAGTGTTGAAATCTAAAAATCCCAAAGGGACTCCATCCCTTCTCTTAGCTGGAGAGCCTGAGCTGGAATCACTGCCAAGTTGGAGAGGTCTGTTCCCCAGCTGTAGCCAGTGGCTGTCAGAGAGATGCGTAGGCAGAGAGGTGGAGGTATGTTAAATAGGAAACAAGCTCAGAAAACAAGTTCTACAGTTAGCATGATGCATAGTTGGGACTTGAACCCAGAGTCCTACTGGGTTGCGCTCTGCCTTGCTGGTCCTTTGGCTCCTTGATGTAAACATTTTGTGAAAAAGCCCAAGGTTAGAACGTTAGTGGTGAAACTGGTGAAATCTGAATAGAGTCCAGAATTTAGTTCCTACAAAGGCGTGCAATGTTCATCTCTCAGTCTTGACAAATGTACTGTAGTCACGTAAGAGGTTTAACAGTCGAGAAATTGGGGTGAAGAGTAACAAAACAAAACTCTACATTATCTTTACAGTTTGCTAGAAGTTTAAATTTTTTCCAAAATAGAAACCTTATTTTACAAAAAGTCCTCAGTGAATATAGGCCCCAGATCCTATTCTAACTTACTACTTCAGAGTTTATGCTTTTGTAAGCTGTTTTGTGAGCCATCCCCTTTCCTTGGCCAGAAGTGGCAGTGAGTACGTTCAACTCCTAGCCGTTTGTCACAACTCTTATACACAGCTGGGTTTTATTTCCGTATGGGCCCAGGTTTTAACTTCATTTTAATGGGGCCCCACACTCTCTTAGGAACACCTTGCTTTAAGAGGCTGTTGTGGACTGAATGTTGTATCCCCCGCCCCCCCCCATTCCCATGTTGAAATCCTAGCCCCAGTGTGATGATACTAGGAAGTAGGAATTTTAAGAGGTGATAAGGTCCTGAGGGTGGAGCCTCATGAATGAGATTAGTGCCCTTGTAAAAGAAGCCCCAGAGAGCTCCCTTGTTTTCTTTCTGCCATGTGAGGACACAGCGAGAAGCTAGCCTCTGAACCAGGAAGAACCTCATCAGATACCAAATCAATCTGCTAATGTCTTGATCTTGGACCCCCAGGC